GTGTTAATGTGTCATCATTTTCTTCCAATATTCTCTATAATCTTTCATATGAAGTTGTGCTTCTGTTAGCCTTTTGTACAATAGTTTGACTTAAATACTGTATATATTGTTTATTTCCGTAACGGTGTTCAAAATGTTATTGAATGATTTATATGTCAGGGTTCGATGAGTATCTTCTATCAACAAAATGTGTTATATAAGCTACAAATAGATGAATTTAAAAGTGTTACCACTGATCGCATTTCTTTATGACTATAGTTAAGTAAAGCTTATAGGGCTGTCCTATATACACACATGATTTAGAAACGGTACGTTGAAAAAAGACATCCTTCTATGCATTTTATCCTTACGATACTAGGCCTCCGTGTTTCTTTTTTAAGGAGCGAGACAATCTCATGAAGAGTTAAGTCAAGTTATTTTTCTTGAAGAAAAATAAGTGATTCATGTGGACCCTCTCTGAAAAATATCTCTTTAGATGCATTTCCTACTAGAATTTGGAAATGCAGGTTCTGTGATTCATGTGGACCCTCTCTGGGAAATATCTCTTTAGTTGCATTTCCTACTAGAATTTAGAAATGCGGGTTCTGTGATTCATGTGGACCCTCTCTGGGAAATATCTCTTTAGTTGCATTTCCTACTAGAATTTGGAAATGCAGGTTCTGTGATTCATGTGGACCCTCTCTGGGAAATATCTCTTTAGATGCATTTCCTACTAGAATTTCGAAATGCAGGTTCTGTGATTCTTGTGAACCCTCTCTGGGAAATATCTCTTTAGTTGCATTTCCTACTAGAATTTCGAAATGCAGGTTCTGTGATTCTTGTGGACCCTCTCTGGGAAATATCTCTTTAGTTGCATTTCCTACTAGAATTTCGAAATGCAGGTTCTGTGATTCTTGTGAACCCTCTCTGGGAAAATATCTCTTTAGTTGAATTTCCTACTAGAATTTGGAAATGCAGGTTCTATGATTCTTGTGGACCCTCTCTGGGAAATATCTCTTTAGTTGAATTTCCTACTAGAATTTCGAAATGCAGGTTCTGTGATTCTTGTGAACCCTCTCTGGGAAAATATCTCTTTAGTTGAATTTCCTACTAGAATTTGGAAATGCAGGTTCTGTGATTCTTGTAGACCCTCTCTGGGAAATATCTCTTTAGTTGAATTTCCTACTAGAATTTAGAAATGCAGGTTCTATGATTCTTGTGAACCCTCTCTGGGAAATATCTCTTTAGTTGCATTTCCTACTAGAATTTGGAAATGCAGGTTCTATGATTCTTGTGAACCCTCTCTGGGAAATTTCTCTTTAGTTGCATTTCCTACTAGAATTTGGAAATGCAGGTTCTATGATTCTTGTGAACCCTCTCTGGGAAATATCTCTTTAGTTGCATTTCCTACTAGAATTTGGAAATGCAGGTTCTATGATTCTTGTGAACCCTCTCTGGGAAATATCTCTTTAGTTGAATTTCCTACTAGAATTTGGAAATGCAGGTTCTGTGATTCATGTGGACCCTCTCTGGGAAATATCTCTTTAGTTGAATTTCCTACTAGAATTTGGAAATGCAGGTTCTGTGATTCATGTGGACCCTCTCTGGGAAATATCTCTTTAGATGCATTTCCTACTAGAAATTGAATAGAAGGTTGTGAGGAAGAAAGTAGATCAACATGCACAAACTAACTTGAACAAATTGAATCAATGGTGAACAGATTATAAACCTGGATTTGACGCCTCAGAATATCGGTAGTACATTAAGGTTAACACCTACAGGGGTTTAATGTGAGTGCACTGGGTTACAACGATACGGTCACTTACGGAGGTGATTACCACGTTTGACGTTGCATAAACACGACAGGCCACCCCACATCCACAAAAGTCAGATATTAGACTTTGCAAGCTGAACTGACCATATTCAAAAAGAGTCATATCCTCAGTGAAAAAAATTGTATCAACATTATCTTGGACATGAGGACAAGAAAAGTGGCGCGCCTTTCACATTTCTTTGTGGCATTCCACTCTTCATGTACTGCGACTACTTGTAGCCTGTCTTCCAAGAAATCTTAATTCCATAGTCATTTCGTGATGCTATGACAATTTACTGCTGTGTTAATGGTTAAATTTCCTTTTGTGAGTCCGTACTAATGACTTGTGTAGCAAGTTTTCACTTCCGGGTGTTTTATGATATTTTCTCAATACATTACCATAGGACCAGGCAGTACTAATTCTTATTGAAATGTATTATTCCTTTGTATATCTTTTGTACAATCATCGAGATTGCAAGTGGTAGACACTATTGGTGAACCTACATGTCATGATTTAATTCTTTCAAAGCTTGGCACAGTCCGGAACATACATGCGTATAATGATACAAAAATTACGAAACTTGTCGAATTTTGGAGGCCATCTCCCTGTCTAGATTTTGACATTTCTTTCGATCACTTTGGATTTTCCTCAGTCACCTCCTAGGTTTAAGATTTAGGCCCTCAGCATCACTGACGAGCTTTAGCAGGACGAAACGGCTGTATTATACTGTTATAATTCATTATTTGACTTTATCGACTCTATCTTATTCTCAATTCGTACCAAAAATTGCTATTTACCTGTGTGTCTTTTATATAATATTATAGGTCAGCAGTTTTCTGCCAACTTCCCTTGTCTAACATTACTATTACCATCTTTTCATTGTGTTAGTGGCTTTCCATCTTTTATAAATCTAAATTGTTATCCTTGGATGTTTGTTTTAGTAACAAATACTTTGATGTGAATTCTCTTGAAGTTTCTTTCTGGTTACTTCTGTGAATTATGAATTATTCAATTCGTTTTCGTAGTTTCCGGTGTTTAATGGTGGCATAACTTTAAACGTCTTCGTCACTAAGAAAGTTGATTTCCTCTTTATCACCAGCAAACCCGCCGATCCTGTTTTTATTGGTGTAATAGTAAGTATTAATGAAACTTATCCTGCCACCACTGGGGTTCGCACTAGCAGTCTCTAACCGGACATCTTCGAGTAAGGGAAATTCACACTACCAAATGCTTGTAAGGCGTCCTGTTCCGTAAACTTAAGTCGGCTTCGACACCAAAGTCAACAATCACCAAGCTTTCATGTCTCCAAAGAAGCATCTTAGTCGCCTATAGCTTTGCCGTTGGAGTGGTCAAGGGCACCAAAGGAATATTGAAAAACACTCCTGGGGTTCGCACTAGTGACTTTTCAGTCTCCAGCCGGACACTCTAAACTCGACTAAAGGGAAATTTCCATTAAGGCGACCTGTTGTGTTAACTTCTACACTACTGATTCACGTTATTCTCATATTTAAAAATCCGCCTCAAACTCGGCACTTGAAGTCGAGCTTTCAAGTATTATGCCAAATCAAAAGTATTAACCCATCGTTTGGCGAAGTACGCTTACCATTTTTAGTTACTTCCAAGCTTGTCAGAGCTTAGTCCGAAAAGTGTTTGTCATTTTTTAGATAGTCGATAAATTTGTCAGAAACCTTCGAACTAATCAGATTTTTCCCACAAACACTGCAATGATTGATTTTATAGATATGACTTTAAAACAGCAAGTCCTTCTGCATCAGTTATCAAGCTGGACTAGCACCAGATACAGACATCATAAGGGACCCCAAGAATAGACAGACTTCTTTACTTCTCTTGAGAAGAATGTTCCTTGTTTTACCTAGAACTAACGAAGCAAACGTTTTGTTGTACCCGTGTCGATGTCTTGTCACGTGTGAGTCGGGACATGTCGTATGTTTAGGAAGTCCGAAATCTCTCTAAACTTGAGGTTGTAAATCTACCATTCCCGTCAATCCCGCGAGAATTAAGATTTTGGTAGGTTTACAAGGACAAGTCTAAAAAGATTCCGCATCGGGGTGGCCATTGTAAAATTCTGGAAAGTAAAGTTTTCGTCGGAAATGATTGAAAATAATAGGTCTACTTGCTTTGACACAAATGCAAGTTAGTAGGAAAATGTTTCATCTTTCCATCAAAGTAGGATTTACAACTATCGCGCAGTTGTAAGCTATTTAAAACATTGTCTGAACACCGACCGTTGCAGAAGTCGCTAGTTTCTTTCATACAGGGAAGAATTCTGCGACAAAGACAAAATTAAAATAGCGGACTAATTAAATCTAGAGTCAGAACCTTTCAGACTAATGTTTTGGTTGTTGAGTTATGAAATGACCACAGTGGATTCGGACAAAGGATTCATAAGGAAGAGTATATTTTCGGTATCTAAACGATGGTAAGTGTGTAATATGACGTAATTGGTATATAACACAATATGATATGATATATAACTGAAATGAAACAACAATTTCATCTGTTACGAAAATTTACATCGGCTCTTATAAGAGTTGATTCCACATAATACCACGATATTTACATACACGATTTCATGTCCATGATTATCTGAAATACAAGGTAGCCATTTGATTAAAAATACATATTGTGAGTCTAAGGCTCCTTCAGTCTTTTAACGTCGAATCAAGCTTTCTTCTTCTTTTATTCTTATGCCACCGGATCGAAAGATCGTGGACTTTTTTTCTACCTGTTTGATTGTCTGTCTGTCTGTTTGTCTGCTGTCAACTTTAACCTTACCCATAGCTATTGCACCGTAAAAGGTAGGCTTTTTTTCCATATTTGGAAGACCTTTCTGTTGGTACCAATTTTTTTTATCTTGTGATTTTAATTTTGTTGCAGTCATAATATTGTCATTCTATGTTAATCTCAGGATTAATATGATAGCGACAAATTGTATCCGAGTTATCTCCTCTCTATATTCTAACGAAGTATGCATGTCATGGCCTACACTTTGATAAGATATAATCAACAACGCGATGATGCATTACATTAAGTCACGGTTGCATAATCATCTCATCATATGATATGTTATTTTATTATTTTTCAAAGTCCGGAACATGTTTAGAATATTTGTTGGTTAGAAAGGTTTATTTTTAAGCGCTCAGACGACTTAGATGAATACAAACTTCCGGTTCTTCGTGGCCCTTCCTCCCCGACAGTTTTTATGATATTTCTGGTAGAAAATTTCACACACTTCTTATTTTCATCATGATACACAGCCTTTTCATCATAAACAGTAGTGGGTAAGTGTCCTCAAATACATCAGATAATAATTAATGTAGTTTTTAGTATGTCACCATTTGGCTATAAATGTTGATATGCTAGCTCCCGCACTCGATGAAACTCGTGATCAGTGTAGTTGGGAATGATGCTCTCGCAATCTTCCTCGACATTTAATGCTTGTTGCAGTTGCCTTCTACAATTTTTAATTTCGATAATATCAAGCCTGAATAAACTAAACAAACGTAGCATTATTATTATCTAAGAAGAGTTTAAGAGTTACCGGAATGAAAGACGGCACCGATACAATACACAATATCTGTGTATATAATTTCATTTGAAACGCAAGCAAATCAAAGTAGGAACCATTGATGCAATTCTGATGTTATATTAAAAATTTAATTCAGAAGACGTTACGTTACTACCTACTATATACGACGATATTGAAGGAAATTCAATCTAGTCCTTACATAGACCTTCAAATGTCTTCGGACCAGAAGTGATGCCATATCAATAACATATGAAAGAAAACAATCACCGCTCTTGACTTTCTTAGACGGAACTTATTAATGTAGACCACTTCTGAGTATGATATGGGAACCTTTTTCCCAAAGTGACATACATATAGAAACATGATTGAGATGGTCCAATGTTAAGCCACTAGATTCATTAATGGGGTCTATCAATTGGTTGAGGGCCAGGTTGGTGCCAGCCTTCCCTCCAAACCAATTCAAAACAAATCTTAATTACCAGCTACAAATGACTTTGTTACCCAAAACATTTTGAAAAAATTGCTACCAGCAATATAAAGTGTTTTGACATTTGGCCATATGATACAGATGCAACATGGTGTATTGTACATCATTTATATTTCCTTGTAAATATTTGTTCCCTAAGGTTTTATTGATATAATGCGATATTGATATTTTCTGTCAGATGACAGCCACATGATCTAATGTACAATGTATGTTATCACTACATGTATATCAATGATATTAATTATCATTAATTGTTATAATCATATTATATTCTACAGATAGGTTCAGTATATATTACCAACAAGTACATAATTTAGATGAAAGATTTAAAAGTTTTTTCATGGAATAATACAAACTGCGTCGACGAATAAAATTTCAGTGATCAGTTCAAATCAATTTCTTTGTAATTGATCTGGCAGTTTTAGATCTGACAGCATGGTGTTCATCTCAGTGAGATTTAGCGTATAGCAAAGAAGGAGGATGTGATTTTGTTTTGTCTACCTTACTTAGGAGGAATGCCTTTTGTCTGTATCTGAAATAAAGAAGAATCAGACAGAAACACTTCATTTCAAATTAACATATGTTTGTATTATCTACTCGGGCAAGACTATTTCTCCACTGAAGTATTGTTTTTGGTTTTTGAATAATCCAAAGACAAAGTTCAGTCACTGATTTGAATTCCCATATTACTGTAGACTTCGAAGAATTTAATTTGGATTCCTGTGGAGTCTGAGAGTGTATCTGTTACAACTTTAATAAGCAAAAAAAGACATTGGCCATATGCAGCATTAATAGTGCTTGGTCCCATTATTTATTGTATGTGGTAAGCATGCCCAGGTATTCATATATCTACCTACTTTGGGTCCTAGGGAAGGTGCGAAATAGCATCGCCCTGTGCTTTCATGGCCACTGTAAGGAATCTACCTAAAATGATTCTAGATGTTGACAGGGCAATAAACCAAATAATCGAATCAACATGAGTAAAAGTACCGGTAAAAATGGCATTTCATTCATTATTTTGTCTGCATTACTACACTTATACACTTATACATGTATACATTGTTTCTTCAACTTGGACTGAGTGATCAGTTGATGATTGGTTCTTCAACAGAACTCAATACCAAAATAATTTTTTTTTCTTACATTTATTAAGATATTTCCATTCCATAGGAAATGCATTGAAATAAAAGTCTTCATAATTTTTAGTTGGTAACATACTCTCAGTTCTAACCTTTTTCGTAAATACTTTAATAGTCAATATTAGCATCATTAAGCAAAGTTTTCTCACAACTCAACATTTTACCTGCAATTGATTGAATTAAAGTTGAGTATAGATCGTAACAAAGCAATAAATCAATGACCATTGCTTCAAGGCAGATAACTCTAGCAGAAAATGACACATTGTCTCACTCTCACACAAAGGGGTATTTCTGATTCTTGCAATCAAAGTCATTAATCTAGCAGAAAATGACACATTGTCTCACTCTCACACAAGGGGGTATTTCTGATTCTTGCAATCAAAGTCATTTCAGAACTTTTATGACTGTTTTAGACTTGGAAGTTGATATCTCTTCAATGTTTTCCATATTATTGATTTTTAGGCACTCTGTATACAGAGGATATCTGTTGATACACCTACAATTATTAACTTATATAATCAAAATTTATAACTATCACTTATAGTCTAAATGCAATAAAAATCTGTAAAGCTTGCAGTTATAATTCTGTACGCTGATTGAAATTTTGTTGCTTTTTCAGAGATGTTTTCATGGAAAAGCACTGGAAAAGTGTTATTCACAAATCCATATGTGACTACTTTTTTGAAGTTCAGGGAAAGGTTGGTATACAATGTACTACAAATTGTACATGTATATTTATTTCTTGATAATTATTATATGCTGGCTTATATAATTCACAGGTAAACATACATAATCCATAGGGATTTTGAGTATATTGTGAGTGTATTTTTGTAAGTATGTATCTGTGTATATCCTGCAATGCAATATATATATACTGTACATTATTAAGTATTATAATATTGCAGATATCAGAAGCTGCCACCTCCCAAATAACTTCCTTTGTGTATGATTCTTTGTTGTCAATAAATATAGTGACCAAAATTGTATTTCTTGTAACTCATTGCTTATTCGTTAAAGTCGGGATTAATACCTTTTACCCTAATTAAGACAATTTGTTGTTGGTAGGCTGCCTCTGCTGATGATGTTCCTCCAGTGATCTCAACTCCTCATCACTACCTCATCAACATCTACAGAAACCAGCTGTACTATGTGGCTGTCGTTACTACAGAAGGTATAACATGTAACATCGTTAGAATTGATTGAGAATACAGATCATCCTGAATGGGACCTTAGGGAGCTTATACATATATAGATAAACAAAACATATGTAAATTGGTTAATTGTCTCTATACATCTAGCTATATTTTGTTATTTCAACCAGAATTTTACAATAGTGTCTGCATAAACTTGGATTTACCTTTGTTCTATTAGTGATTAGTCAGATGCCAGCAGAAACAGTCTTTTTATCTGTGAAACAGGATGAAAAATAACTGAACTTTATATCAATTATAACTCCTTATAGCAAATGACAAGTATGAACGTATCTGAAAGTGACGAACTTATATATGTAACACCAGTCAGAGTAATGTTGGAGAAGGTCTATAATATATAAACTTGTTTGTGATCGAGTACCTCTTATGTTTGTATTTCAGTGCCTCCAATGTTTGTGATTGAGTACCTCTTATGCTTGTATTTCAGTGCCTCCAATGTTTGTGATAGAGTACCTCTTATGCTTGTATTTCAGTGCCTCCAATGTTTGTGATAGAGTACCTCATATGCTTGTATTTCAGTGCCTCCAATGTTTGTGATAGAGTACCTCTTATGCTTGTATTTCAGTGCCTCCAATGTTTGTGATAGAGTACCTCTTATGCTTGTATTTCAGTGCCTCCAATGTTTGTGATTGAGTTCCTACATCGGATCTTTGACACATTTGAGGATTATTTCAATGAATGTACAGAGAGTATTCTGAAGGAGCATTATGTTATTGTTTATGAGGTATGTGTTCATGAATGCCATGTTCTGTCATTATCTGTGGATTTTGTAGTGTATATTAAGTCTCTATAACTCTGACAGTGGTAATTATCATTCAGTCTGATTTGGCCTTTAACTGGTAATTAGATTACCTGAGTTGTGATTGCTTTTTGTCTGTTGTGTGTGTCATTTGACTCTCTAAGGAACCAGCGGGACCAAAAATGGGTCAAAATGACTGAAATTTCAAAGATGTCTACTGTTCCTGGATGGAAGATTTTGTATAGGAAAATTGAAACCTTGAGTGTAATTTCTGTTAATTCACACTTGGTGATAAGCATTAGCATAGGACAGCAGTTAATGTATACACAATTTACATTTGCATTATGTGTACAATATAGTTTAAATTATATTGCTTTATTTTAAAGCAAAATCATTTCTATGACATGTTACCAGGAGCATTGTGACTCAGGTGGGCCTCTTGTTTGTAAAGAAGAGCTCAGCTGATTTTGTACATTAGCTCCTTGTTAGCCCGCCATCTATTAGATGGTGGGTTATTCAAATCGCCCTGCGTCTGTGGTCCGTCCGTCCGTAAACAATTCTTTTTACCGCTATTTCTGGAAAAGTACTGCATAGGACAGCAGTTAATGTATCAAATTTCATATACAGGTTCCCCTATAGTTTAAATTATATTGCATTTAAACCTTTTTTGAACATGTTACCAGGAGCATTTCAAGATGGCCGACAGGTGGCCATCTTGGATTTTTTGAAACTTAAAATCAAACATTTTCAAGCTCAATTTTGTTTATAATTCTAAGATTCTAGAGACAGAGACCAGTCTCCACATTCATTATAAATATAAGAGTGGTGTTAAAGCAAACAAAGTATTAAACAAACTACTGTTGTTGTCTCACACTCAGCTTGATTCCTATTCACAAATTTTATATACTTTCAGCTACTTGATGAAATGCTGGATAATGGCTTCCCGTTAGCAGTGGAGCTCAACATTCTGAAGGAGTTGATTAAACCACCAAATTTCCTCAGGACCATCACGGACACTGTTACAGGCAAAAACACCAGGTTCGATATCTGTAGCTGTCACACTTCACTATATAATGCTTATGTGTTGAAAATTAATGGAGTACCAGTTCATGTATTTTCCTTAGTTAGACCTTTAGGTTTCTTCAACCTCTATCACTCTAAATCCTTTTTATACACCCTCCTTTGTATGACGGGACGTATTATGGTCTGGTGTTGTCTGTCCGTACGTCCATCCGTCTGTTCGTCCGTCGTAAACTTTCCTTGTCCGGGCCATAACTTTGTGAGTCCTTGGTCTATTGTCACCATACTTTGTACACATATATCTCAAGGTGATGGAGTGTCGCATATAAAAATTGCCTGCCTTGCATGCATAGTTTGAGTTATTCCTCTTTAGTTGATTTTTACTATATAGTGAATGTAAATCATAAGTTCACATACTATATTAGCAAATGGTGGTATGACATGGCTAAAACTTCCCCAAATGATATTCAGATTATTCCAAGACAACTTGGTTATTCAGTCAAATGCTGCTTCTCCATCGAAGACTGTGACGGGCATATATTGTGCCTCAATTAGGCCCTTGTTTAAAGTGGTTGTCTAAAGGCTGAAACCATAGGTATTAGTTTTGTCTTTTAATGGACTTGTTCTAGATACTAATTTTTAATCCTTGCTACGTGTACCAAGAATATGCATGATGGAAGAATTTCAGTACAATGTGATTGGAGAAAATATAGCAAAATTGCTTTTAATCAAAGGGAGAATTCTAGAGATAAAAGCCAACAACATGAACTGGAAACAAAAGGCGTTTGAATCAAATAAAATTTTATGAGTAACACTACATTTATTTTCAGTGTGAGTGGTATTTTACCTACTGGTCAGTTATCCAACATTCCTTGGAGACGGACAGGTGTCAAGTACACTAATAATGAGGCCTACTTTGATGTGATAGAAGAGATAGATGCTATTATAGATAAATCTGGAACAACTGTGACAGGAGAGATTCAGGGATATGTAAGTATATAGATATAAAACTATAACAGGAGAGATTCAGGGATATGTAAGTATATAGATGTAAAACTATAACAGGAGAGATTCAGGGATATGTAAGTATATAGATGTAAAACTATAACAGGAGAGATTCAGGGATATGTAAGTATATAGATGTAAAACTATAACAGGAGAGATTCAGGGATATGTAAGTATATAGATATAAAACTATAACAGGAGAGATTCAGGGATATGTAAGTATATAGATGTAAAACTATAACAGGAGAGATTCAGGGATATGTAAGTATATAGATATGAAACTATAACAGGAGAGATTCAGGGATATGTAAGTATATAGATATAAAACTATAACAGGAGAGATTCAGGGATATGTAAGTATATAGATATAAAACTATAACAGGAGAGATTCAGGGATATGTAAGTATATAGATATAAAACTATAACAGGAGAGATTCAGGGATATGTAAGTATATAGATATAAAACTATAACAGGAGAGAGATATGTAAGTATATAGATATAAAACTATAACAGGAGAGATTCAGGGATATGTAAGTATATAGATATAAAACTATAACAGGAGAGATTCAGGGATATGTAAGTATATAGATGTAAAACTATAACAGGAGAGATTCAGGGATATGTAAGTATATAGATGTAAAACTATAACAGGAGAGATTCAGGGATATGTAAGTATATAGATGTAAAACTATAACAGGAGAGATCAGGGATATGTAAGTATATAGATATAAAACTATAACAGGAGAGATTCAGGGATATGTAAGTATATAGATATAAAACTATAACAGGAGAGATTCAGGGATATGTAAGTATATAGATGTAAAACTATAACAGGAGAGATTCATTTTTATGTATGATAAATGTATAAATCAGAAACAAAGTATAACAGGAGAGATGAAATGTTATGTATGGTTAGTGTATGAATAGCCAAAATCAGAAACAAAGTATAACAGGAGAGGTGAAATGTCATGTATGGTTAGTGTATGAATAGCCAAAATCAGAAACAAAGTATGACAGGAGAGGTGAAAGGTTATGTATGTGTAATAATGTACATATCTAACACTACTATTGAAAATAGAGTCATATATTAAAAACTGGTACTAATGATATATTGTAAAAGAACTAGTGAACATTTATAAAAGGAAGGATACAAGGGTCCGTATTGCTGAACTAGCTATTGGTCCTTTTTTTCCACAAAAATGTCTATCATTTGATTTTGGAAAATCTACATGTGTATATTAAAAGATGAAAACTGCTATAATACAAAGAATTTTGATAATTGTTTTGTCTTGATGACACCTTAAACTGGATCAACATTTGGAGTAACTGCTGTGTAATGTAGTCTATCTTACTTTACAGATTGACTGTCTGATCAAACTGACTGGAATGCCTGATCTCACCTTGTCCTTTATCAACTCTCGTCTCCTTGACGATGTCAGTTTCCATCCCTGTGTGCGCTTTAAACGGTGGGAGGTATGATTTATAATGAAAGTAATAATAATAAGAAATAATAAAAGTCTCTCTGACCTGTTGCTGACTCTGATTCTATAATTACATTTACCTCACTTTCTTGATTAACAATTTTTTTCAATAGCCGAGAAGCGGTAGTCCCTGGGTCCCATTAATTGTATGTTGTAAATATGTTTCCATTGTTGCTTTCCATATAAGACATTAGGAAGTACCTTGTATCTTGAACTGTATGAATACATCATGGTTAGGAAAAAGGAAGGATTAAGTGATGTCACATCAATAACAATAGTTTTTGTGAAGTAACTTCCCTCCTGATGATGGCTTGAACATTAAAAACAAAATAGTATTCATGTACTTTTTTTTTTGTCAGCAAAGAAAATCAATGAAAAAAGCGAGAATTATATTTAAAGTGAATTTCAATGACTTCATTGTATGATATTATTTAACAGAGTGAGAGAATCCTGTCCTTTGTACCACCTGATGGAAACTTTAGACTCATATCCTACCACATAACATCTAACAAGTAAGTTTTACTTTTTACTCTTTACCAAGGGCGTACTTGATATAATGTTATTGATGTCACCACAAAACCAAAGCATCTATTGATACCATTTTGTATCCTAGTATTCCATTCCAATTTGAATTGTATTTGATGTTTTCTCGACTGTTTCAGCCTCGTAGCAATACCGATTTACCTAAAGCACAGTATTATGTTCCGAGAGGGGTCCTCCGGCAGGTTTGAAGTATCAGTTGGACCAAAGACCACAATGGGAAAAACGGTAGGTTATCCTGAGTATTGTTAGCCTTTCTACATCAGACTCCTTGTATTTAAGATTGTCTACTTTATATCAGCCAATTAAATATCATGTTTTTTTGTTGCCTACCAACATGCTTGCCATTCACTTAAATTACTTCTTTACAGTTCTTGATAAAAGCAGGGTGTCTTTGTATAATGCTAGCCTCTTAGCTAGAGATTCTCTTTTCAAGTATTAATCTATGTGGAATATTTCCCGTGTGGAAACAGACGATATGAGTTTGTATCTCTAGCAGGAATCTTTTGGATTTCTTTGCTCTTCATGATTAATTATAGAAAAATTTGTTTTCAGGTTGAAAATGTAGTTATGGAAGTTCCCTTTCCTAAAACAGTTCTTAATGCAACCTTGACCCCAACTCAAGGAAAATACACCTTTGACCCTGTCTCCAAGGTGATGACCTGGGATATAGGACGGATAGATACCACTAGATTACCCAGCATTAAAGGAACAGTAAGTACTATAAGTCATGCGATGGTATAAAAACCAAACCACTTGGTAACTCATGAAACCTTCAGCAGTTCAATGTTTAACTTAGTACCTTTAGTAATAAAGGTATACAACAGCACAGGCTTACATTTAGTGGTTAATAGTAACTGTGAAAGAAAAAAGGTTGTGTACATATATCTCATTAGTCCACCAACAGCTAAAATTTATGCAATATTTGAAATTTGTAATGGTGACACCAGATTAGATGGTCAGCAGTAGAAGCATTGTGGTCATACTTGACTACTTGGAGAAGTGGGACAAAAATGTAGAAATTTAAACAAAAATATTGTAGAGAACATTACAACATTTGATGTTTTGTTTAGGTAACCTTACAAACGGGAGCACCTGTACCGGAATCAAACCCTACCATTAATGTAAGTAGAGACCTAACATATACACTACACACATGTATAAGACAAAGATATTAGATAGTGTCTGATTGGGATTTAATTGTAAATACCGATTAAACAGGTACACTGATGTGTGGAGACTACATTACGTTAACAATAACACCCATGAGTGGTGTATCATGTTCATATTGTTGCTATTTTGTTTTCGAAGGGCCTTCAGTGTTCATTGTTTCTCACCTCTTGTCTATTCTGTTTGGTTTTTTACAGATGTACTTCACCATCAGTCAGCTGGCTCTATCTGGCATCAAAGTCAACAGACTTGACATGTATGGAGAGGTAAGTTTGAAAAATGATGTATTGCAGTCTTGATCTTATATATATATATAAGAACACATCCTATTTCTGTTTTTTTTTTTAAGTAATTTGTTGTTTGGATATGTATAGGTTATCCCCCCCTTAGAATTGAGTTTTGTGGTTTTTTTCCTGGATGCATAGATCCTTTTAAGATTCCTATCAATGTTAACAAAGTTTCTGATGAAAATGTACAGATATCCTTGCGATAAATCTTTTTGAAGACTTCAGAATATAAGCAGTTTTAAGTTTCCTCAGTAATTAAACCCTCATATTTACCATTGTCCACATTGTGAGTTGGCATTTAATGTTTACTTTTTCTCTTCATCTGTAAATCAGTAAAACATCTTTGTTAGGTTTTAGTTCCATTGTTCTATCACTAAAAACCCACGATTATCAATTTTAAGATAAAGGTTTATCCTAGGAAGTCACCAGTACATCAAAATCATCTAGGTCATTGACTAATATATTCCATTTAGGAGAGGACTTGTGTAGGTTATGCTTGCTGTCCAATCCTTTTGTCATAATGACATTAACATTTCATGAAATTAAAAATGAATACATGCATATTCCATTTCACTGACAGGAAGATCTATTTGAATCAAAATGTGACTGTACAAGTATTCTCTAGATTTAAACTTTCAAATTGATCCCCATTTTCCTTGTCTTTTCTCTCAGAAATACAAACCATTCAAGGGAGTGAAATATATAACCAAAGCTGGAAAATTCCAAGTACGGACATAGTGGTTGTAGAGACACAAGTTGGCTGCTGCTATGTGTGGAAAAGAGATTGGTAAAGAGTTGTCCAGGAAATGTTATTCAGACTAAGATGGGGTAACTTGTTTGGAGGTGTTCTGTGATATATCAGTGTGACCTAGTGATGTGTCTCCATGCTGAACTCATGTGGATGTACAAAAGACTACTCAGTTTCTCTGGTGCTCCATCGTGGTGAGTTGACAGAAACAAGATACAGTCAACTGTCAACTGTAATAGTAGCACTGGAATCTGGCTCAGGACCGTCTACCTTTTGGGCGAGAACATATGGATAAAACATCATACATATGTAACTCTAAATGCCATAATTCTGTACTGAGGAGTATGTTTTCTGTAGCACATATCCTGTTAAATACATATATATCTCTGTTATTATTCTGAAAATATGTGATTAAAACATAGACAAGTTATGTGGGGTAATGCATGGTAAAAATGTTCTATTTGATGAAAAGAGTGAATTTTAAATTTTTGAATCATTACAACAAGTTCAGGATAGAGCAATTAGTTTATTTCATAAAATGTACTGCTTAAAAAAGTGCATTTTTTTCATCAGGATCATCTTTTTACTTATTTGTGGGTATTAAAATAGATAGGACCCATTTAAATTTCATCCACAATATTAAGTACTACTGAAGAAGCCATTGCTCATGTCTCCATTTCTCAAAGGATATTTCAACAGTCACAATTGTTGGCACAGAATGTTCGTGTTTAAAAGCATCAATTGTTATCAAATCTTGTTCAGTCTACTGGTGTTTGACTGATAAATCAGCTATCATGAAATTATAACTTTATATCAGTGCACTCTTCGTGAAAAATTAGATATCCTATTATATTAAAAATGGAAAAAGTTGAATTAGTCAAAGTTTAATTCTCTTGTTCAACTTGAAAATCCTGACCATTTTGAACCACAAATTAAACAGACTATGTGGTATCTAGAATATATTGATTTTATTTTAGCTTTAAATGTCATATTCATTTACTGTTGAATCATATATTTTTGTAGGGCTCAAATTTTGTGGTTTTTCAAAAGAATCCTAATTCAGAAGCAAATGATTTCATAGATAAACAGTAATTACAAGATCCACTTCTTCAATGAATTAATTTTAATTGTTTATCTTTTTGTGGATTAATGAATTTGTGGATAAAGATTTCCCATGAAGTCAACAGAAATGCAGCCACCACCAAAAATAATCACTTTACAGTAACATTAAAACAGTTCTACTCTTAAAGTTTATTATATATTGCCGTATACTTTGTGACCACTTAACTGACCAATGGTGTTGTTATTATTAATTTGTTGTTGTGTTTATATAAGATATTTCAAAGCATGAAGAAGTGATGAGTGTTGAGGATGAGAGAGAAATGAGTGGGATAATAGCAGCATCAATTAGTGCTTGTTTTAATGCTCTGGTAACATTTTTATTTTGAGAGTTGTGTTATTGTATTATAAAAGATGTAAGGAAGTATTGTAAACCCCTGTGCTCTCATGATAAACATGCAATATTTTGTTGTACAGTATTTATATCCTACCATGTTTTGTTTAAGTATCAAGAGGTCACGACCTTTTAAACTGCCATTGCTATCTTCCATCAGGTTCATCATCAGTGTTTACAGTTCATCAGATTCAACATGTGGTTTGTCTCTGCATTATGTGCATCCTATGGTGCATATTTTCCAACTATTTTCAAGTCTAAGTGAAATAAGTTACATGTATATGTAGCAAAACATGTCAGAGAAATTATGATAAATTATAATATGATGACCATGTGCTAAGTCAGGTGTGTTATCAGGGTTGGACTTGTCCCGTACTCGTACTGGCCAAAAGCAAGATTTGGGGAATTATCGCTAACTAGTCTGTTATACTTCAATAATTAGCTATCAAAACATATATTTCTCCCCTTTTCCAGTACCCAGGAATATTTTCCCATGAAAGGTAATTGCATTGACATTTCTGAATCACAGGATCAGTATAATGAAACAGATATAACAGAATGTGCTGCCATATAACGAAGTATAACAATGTTGTTTGACAAATATATTATAATAGTTAACTCACACAAACAGAAATATTACATTTGTCCAGATTGTCGAGAATTTCATCATATATCTAAATAGTATTATAATAGCAACAAGGAACCTTAAGTATCATCACAATTTCATGTTTCAAACGAAATAAACAGATAAAATGATACCTGAATCATCAACAAAATTATGGCCTGAATAAAATCCAGAGACATACACTGGGAAGTTATATGTTCTAAATGTGGGTGTGTCACAACAGCAGTTGTTATGTACACAATAAACAGAGTATAAGCTGAGAAATCAACACAATTATTGTTAAATGTGTCAATCATGTATGGTTTCCATGAAAATATTACATCATATTTCTCTAATGTCAGAAGCAATTTGAATTTATATTTGTGCATTCATAGGATATTTTCTGAAAGGTAGGGATTTAATTTCCATTTTCTAGGGCGAGATGTAAGACATACAATACACTGATAGGAATCAGTTTTATGACCTGTCAGTAGACAAATGTATGTGATTACTTTAGATGTTGTTCTCATTGTGTTTTTATCCAGGAATCGGCTTGCATACCGTGGTTGATTTCTCCACATTAAAAAGCATCATCTCAGTAAAGACTACTTTGTGTTATTTATCTAAAATAGTGTTTCCTCAACAGGACATATTTCCACTGATGACATCTCATACTGTTTTAGGACTAGAAATATGTCCACTGGTGACATCTCATACTGTTTTAGGACCAGAAATATGTCCACTGGTGACATCTCATACTGTTTTAGGACCAGAAATATGTCCACTGGTGACATCTCATACTGTTTTAGGACCACAAATATGTCCACTGGTGACATCTCATACAGTTTTAGGACCACAAATATGTCCACTGGTGACATCTCATACTGTTTTAGGACCACAAATATGTCCACTGGTGACATCTCATACAGTTTTAGGACCACAAATATGTCCACTGGTGACATCTCATACAGTTTTAGGACCAGAAATATGTCCACTGGTGACATCTCATACTGTTTTAGGACCAGAAATATTTCCACTGATGACATCTCATACTGTTTTAGGACCAGAAATATGTCCACTGGTGACATCTCATACTGTTTTAGGACCAGAAATATGTCCACTGGTGACATCATCTCATACTGTTTTAGGACCCAAAAGATGTCCACTGGTAACATCTCATACTTTTTTAGGACCAGAAATATGTCCACTGGTGACATCTCATACTGTTTTAGGACCAGAAATATGTCCACTGGTGACATCTCATACTGTTTTAGGACCAGAAATATGTCCACTGATGACATCTCATACTGTTTTAGGACCAGAAATATGTCCACTGATGACATCTCATACTGTTTTAGGACCAGAAATATGTCCACTGGTGACATCATCTCATACTGTTTTAGGACCAGAAATATTTCCACTGGTGACATCTCATACAGTTTTAGGACCAGAAATATGTCCACTGGTGACATCTCATACTGTTTTAGGACCTGAAATATGTCCACTGGTGACATCTCATACTGTTTTAGGACCCAAAAGATGTCCACTGGTGACATCTCATACTGTTTTAGGACCAGAAATATGTCCACTGATGACATCTCATACTGTTTTAGGACCAGAAATATGTATGTTCACTAGAACCAGAAATATTTCCACTGGTGACATCTCATACAGTTTTAGGACCAGAAATATGTCCACTGATGACATCTCATACTGTTTTAGGACTAGAAATATGTCCACTGGTGACATCTCATACTGTTTTAGGACTAGAAATATGTCCACTGGTGACATCTCATACTGTTTTACGACCCAAAAGATGTCCACTGGTGACATCTCATACTGTTTTATGACCCAAAAGATGTCCACTGATGACATCTCATACAGTTTTAGGACCAGAAATATGTCCACTGATGACATCTCATACTGTTTTAGGACCAGAAATATGTCCACTGGTGACATCTCATACTGTTTTAGGACCCAAAAGATGTCCACTGGTGACATCTCATACTGTTTTACGACCCAAAAGATGTCCACTGGTGACATCTCATACAGTTTTAGGACCCAAAAGATGTCCACTGATGACATCTCATACAGTTTTAGGACCCAAAAGATGTCCACCGATGACATCTCATACAGTTTTAGGACCCAAAAGATGTCCACCGATGACATCTCATACAGTTTTAGGACCCAAAAGATGTCCACTGATGACATTTTACGCCCAATTTTAGGATAAATTTTTACTGGCAACATCAAAATTTTCATTTTCACTTTGATAATGTACCAGTATTACCTTCTTGCAAATATATCAGATATTTTAGCACAAACATTACTGAATGTAAGTAACCAATCCAACAATAACCTTCAGTTTTTCCTGTTTTAACCCTTGGACAGGTTGATACATGACTATTTAAGTTTTTACTCAAATTAACCACACAACAAAATATTTATTAGATGATTTATTTATTTGACAAAATGGTCACAGAATTTGATAAAATTTCATGGACTCTATTTTACATACAACAAATTTACTAATGGGACTTCATAACCAGGTTTCAGTCTACTGTGGTGTAGAAAAATGCATGACAGTTGTCTGTGGACGGAGTTTGGGAGAAATCAATAGAAAAATATTTAAACACTACTTTGTAAAGGAATATTTACTGTTGGATTTCCTGGTAATTTAGGACAGAGAGATGTCTCCAAGATTACTACAACTATTGTCATGTAAACCATCAAGCTAGAGACTTACTACAACTATTGTCAGGTACCCCAAGCTGGAGTCTTACTACAACTATTGTCAGGTACCCCAAGCTAGAGTCTTACTACAACTATTGTCAGGTACTCCATCAAGCTAGAGACTTACTACAACTATTGTCATGTAAACCATCAAGCTAGAGACTTACTACAACTATTGTCAGGTACTCCATCAAGCTAGAGTCTTACTACAACTATTGTCAGGTACTAGAGTCTTACTACAACCATCAAGCTAGAGTCTTACTACAACTATTGTCAGGTACCCCTACAGACTACAACTATTGTCAGGTACTCCATCAAGCTAGAGTCTTACTACAACTATTGTCAGGTACACCATCAAGCTGGAGTCTTACTACAACTATTGTCAGGTACCCCAAGCTGGAGTCTTACTACAACTATTGTCAGGTACCCCAAGCTGGAGTCTTACTACAACTATTGTCAGGTACCCCAAGCTGGAGTCTTACTACAACTATTGTCAGGTACCCCAAGCTGGAGTCTTACTACAACTATTGTCAGGTACCCCAAGCTGGAGTCTTACTACAACTATTGTCAGTACCCATCAAGCTGGAGTCTTACTACAACTATTGTCAGCTAAGTACCCATACAACAAGCCAAGGAGTCTTACTACAACTATTGTCAGGTACCCCAAGCTGGAGTCTTACTACAACTATTGTCAGGTACCCCAAGCTGGAGTCTTACTACAACTATTGTCAGGTACCCCAAGCTGGAGTCCCAAGCTGGAGTCTTACTACAACTATTGTCAGGTACACCATCAAGCTGGAGTCTTACTACAACTATTGTCAGGTACCCCAAGCTGGAGTCTTACTACAACTATTGTCAGGTACACCATCAAGCTGGAGTCTTACTACAACTATTGTCAGGTACACCATCAAGCTAGAGTCTTACTACAACTATTGTCAGGTACCCCAAGCTAGAGTCTTACTACAACTATTGTCAGGTACCCCAAGCTGGAGTCTTACTACAACTATTGTCAGGTACCCCAAGCTAGAGTCTTACTACAACTATTGTCAGGTACCCCAAGCTGGAGTCTTACTACAACTATTGTCAGGTACCCCAAGCTGGAGTCTTACTACAACTATTGTCAGGTACCCCAAGCTGGAGTCTTACTACAACTATTGTCAGGTACACCATCAAGCTAGAGTCTTACTACAACTATTGTCAGGTACCCCAAGCTGGAGTCTTACTACAACTATTGTCAGGTACCCCAAGCTGGAGTCTTACTACAACTATTGTCAGGTACCCCAAGCTAGAGTCTTACTACAACTATTGTCAGGTACACCATCAAGCTAGAGTCTTACTACAACTATTGTCAGGTACACCATCAAGCTAGAGTCTTACTACAACTATTGTCAGGTACCCCAAGCTAGAGTCTTACTACAACTATTGTCAGGTACACCATCAAGCTGGAGTCTTACTACAACTATTGTCAGGTACCCCAAGCTGGAGTCTTACTACAACTATTGTCAGGTACCCCAAGCTGGAGTCTTACTACAACTATTGTCAGGTACCCCAAGCTAGAGTCTTACTACAACTATTGTCAGGTACCCCAAGCTAGAGTCTTACTACAACTATTGTCAGGTACCCCAAGCTGGAGTCTTACTACAACTATGTGTCACTACAACTATTGTCAGGTACCCATCAAGCTAGAGTCTTACAACTATTGTCAGGTACCCCAAGCTGGAGTCTTACTACAACTATTGTCAGGTACCCCAAGCTGGAGTCTTACTACAACTATTGTCAGGTACACCATCAAGCTGGAGTCTTACTACAACTATTGTCAGGTACCCCAAGCTGGAGTCTTACTACAACTATTGTCAGGTACCCCTACAACTATTGCCCAAGCTGGAGTCTTACTACAACTATTGTCAGGTACACCATCAAGCTGGAGTCTTACTACAACTATTGTCAGGTACTCCATCAAGCTGGAGTCTTACTACAACTATTGTCAGGTACCCCAAGCTGGAGTCTTACTACAACTATTGTCAGGTACCCCAAGCTAGAGTCTTACTACAACTATTGTCAGGTACCCCAAGCTAGAGTCTTACTACAACTATTGTCAGGTACACCATCAAGCTAGAGTCTTACTACAACTATTGTCAGGTACCCCAAGCTGGAGTCTTACTACAACTATTGTCAGGTACACCATCAAGCTGGAGTCTTACTACAACTATTGTCAGGTACCCCAAGCTAGAGTCTTACTACAACTATTGTCAGGTACCCCAAGCTGGAGTCTTACTACAACTATTGTCAGGTACCCCAAGCTGGAGTCTTACTACAACTATTGTCAGGTACAGGTACCATCAAGCTGGAGTCTTACTACAACTATTGTCAGGTACCCCAAGCTGGAGTCTTACTACAACTATTGTCAGGTACCCCAAGCTGGAGTCTTACTACAACTATTGTCAGGTACACCATCAAGCTGGAGTCTTACTACAACTATTGTCAGGTACTACGTCCTTCTACAACTATTGTCAGGTACCCCAAGCTAGAGTCTTACTACAACTATTGTCAGGTACCCCAAGCTGGAGTCTTACTACAACTATTGTCAGGTACCCCAAGCTGGAGTCTTACTACAACTATTGTCAGGTACACCATCAAGCTAGAGTCTTACTACAACTATTGTCAGGTACCCCAAGCTAGAGTCTTACTACAACTATTGTCAGGTACACCATCAAGCTGGAGTCTAACTACAACTATTGTCAGGTACACCATCAAGCTGGAGTCTTACTACAACTATTGTCAGGTACACCATCAAGCTAGAGTCTTACTACAACTATTGTCAGGTACACCATCAACCTGGAGTCTTACTACAACTATTGTCAGGTACCCCAAGCTGGAGTCTTACTACAACTATTGTCAGGTACCCCAAGCTAGAGACTTACTACAACTACTATCAGGTACACCATCAAGCTGGAGTCTTACTACAACTTTTGTCAGGTACACCATCAAGCTAGAGTCCAATGCCTATGATTTATATAAAATATGTTATCAAACAAAACAGACAAAATGTTTACAGATATACATCAATACATGTAGCAAAGCTTGAAAAATATAATGGCAGTAATATCATCTACCTTATTTCATGTATAGAGTCATTGTAAATAAAATGTGAAAAAATGTGACAAACAGATTCAGATATATTTTACTAGGAATATTTATCTATGGAAAAAATGTGACAAACAGATTCAGATATATTTTACTAGGAATATTTGACAAGTGGAATTTTATCTGTAAAAATAATGTTACGTTATCTTTTGATTGCAATATTTGACAAGTGGAATTTTATCTGTAAAAATAATGTGACAAGCAGAAGATAAAGATATATATTAGTTACAATATTTAATTTGACTAGTGGAATTTTATCTGTAAAAATAACGTGACAAGCAGATAAAGATATATTTTGATTGCAATATTTGACTAGTGGAATTTTATCTGTAAAAATAATGTGACAAGCAGAAGATAAAGATATCTTTTGATTATAATATTTGACTAATGGAATATTATCTGTAAAAATAATGTTATAAGGTAATATATTATATAGTGACAAAAAATAACCCCCATTAAAACTGACACATAAATATCAATATTGATGTAATTGCATGTGAAATATTGTATAGAATATAGTTAAAAATTATCCTTTTCATAGCCAAAATGATGATTAGATTATGATTTGGTAAATTAAATAATTTACATGTACTACATATACTGTAACTAAATACCATCGCCTAATATAAGTTCTTGTATTTATCAGCTTTAAAAAATATTTCTGGCAGTACCACATCTAAACCAGGCCAGGGTATGGCTGAATATGGATCCCATCCCTCCATCTGCATTCTTAAATCAAATCTACTCTTGAAAGTGTCTACCGTAGTAACTAGACCTATCATCCCTATAACATACATATTTCCTTATAAGGCCATTTCCTCTTTCAGCTTTTTAAAGTGATCTCTTTACAGCTATGTAGACTATAATGTCATCATATATAGTTGTTCATACCAGAGTGACGCTTGATTAAACAGATGGGTTATTGCCCTTTGTCCTTGCCTTTCAAATCATGTCCATAGATCCTGTCTCTTTATATTTATCTGTTGGCATTAAGTCGAGGTATTTTCATCATAATCTGATTGGATGTTTTTTCTATAACATTACCATTTTTGTGAGTGTGCGCATGTTGAGGTAAATACTGTTTCATTTCATTCTTATTTTGGTCCAGACCAACTATGTACACAGGAAACTAACATGCATGTAATGAATTTAAGGAGGAAGTGGTGTCATATGAAACTTTAAAAAAAATTCTGATGAATGTAACAAATACTCAGATTTTCTGACTTCCTTTTGACTAAAACTTTATCACAAATACAGAAATCATTTGAAAACTTGAAAAATTATGAAATATAAAATTATAACCACAAATCAAATCAAAGTAACAACATCAAAGTTCAAACATATTGCACTATAATCAAACAAGATAGAAACTGCCCCCCATCCCTCTCCTCACAAACAATTTCAAACGTATTGCACTACAATAAAACAAAACAGACACTGCCCCACCCCCCCTCCTCGTTCCTCCTAAATATGTAAATAAAATAAATAAACTTTACAAAAACAGAATAAAACAACACCCACAAAACCCACCCACACCCAAAAAACATGAGGACACTCTTTAGAATTATGTATAAACTTTGTGAAAGAAATGAGTGCAGTATTACAGAAAACACACTATGATAAAGTAAATATGTTTTGATCATCATCAATAACCTAAGTCTACCTTACACTCATCACAGTAAGCAATGTAACAAACCTCCTGTCAGCTACTGATGATGTTATTTGAAAAATTTCATGTAAAATGTTGAAATAATGTCTTAACAGATCATGTACCTGATAAAAGGAAAGTCACAAATATTTAAAAAATATGTTAGGCAAGTTTTTGACAAGTGTTATGACAATAATCTAATGTTATGTTTACAGTACATCATATGTATAGGTGTATAATTAATACATGTAAAAACATGATGTTTTTGATGGAATTATGAAATTTATATAAATTCATGTTAAATAAAATAAACATTTCAAATACATATACATGTATATGATGTACATTATAACATTTAACAGTATGTATTGACAAACCTTTAATACTTTACACAAAAACATTTTGTTTATTTCACAAACACAGCTTCCTTTGTGTCATATTAAAACAGATTGAAGTAATCACAAAACAACAAACAATAACAGTAACGCTGAGATCATTACAATTTATAATTTATGGTTATCTGTTATTGAGAATCCTTGGTATCCTTGTCATCCTGGTCATTCTTCATCTACTTTTGGACTCATTAAATGGCACATATCTAGTTCTCCTAACAATTAACATGATACAGATGTATGTAGACCTCCAACAATGTCACTGGCCATCCTTTCTTGGCCCAATGATGTTAACAGTGATAGCACATGTAACAGTACTAGTACATTAACATACAAAATAATCTAACTTCAACACCGTCTAATCAGTGAATGTTTCAGTACCTGTTAACCTCCTAAATTTGTCATATTTCCCTGGATTTTTAGCCTCATGTAAATCTGTAAACATACATATTTCAGTCATAATCTTATTTCTTTGTGTTGAAAAAATTGTGCTTTATGTAACATGATAACATATTGCACAATTAGTGAATGCTATTGATACAGCGATCATACTGCATGTACATAATGTACTAATTCATCATTGTATTAATTTGTCCAAAACTTATATGGATAATGCACTAAAAATTAATTGCACTAAATTAAGTACAAAAACGCCAGTATCATGTCTGAATCATTACAGGATCATAATAAGAACTTACATGACCATGCTAGGCACAAGATCACGTAATGGCCAAAATGAACAGCTAATGGGCTTCAAAATTATCATCCTTAAGACATTATTAATTGATTCTCCTCAGGAAATCAACACAGGAATAACAGTATATAAGATACTTTTTTGGTCACATACTGGTATTCATACTTTCCTCAAGTATTCAAGTGCAATGCACTGGTTGTCTTATACCAACCGGTCAGGTCTTCACAGAGAAAATATTTTAAGGCATCATATAAGGAGAGGTAATTCACCTTATATTTTTGATGTATTCTCAAGCGATTGAAAACATGCAATGGAAATACATGTACTTTCTGAATGATTCAAATACAGGTAATGTTTATAAGATATGAACGTCTAGTAATGTAAGTGATTTTGATGATGTTTTGAAGTAAGTGTATTTTGAAAAAGAAATTAAATTGCTATTGTATCAGTGGAAGTTCAAGAATGATCTTTCTGCATGGAACAAATATCTATGTATACAACAGGTAAAACAGTTCAGTTCTCCAACCAGAGGTAAACACAGTTTTAACACAAAGTACTGAAGTATTTATATTACAAATTTTACAAAAAATGTTATAAAATGTTGCTGGATAAATAGACTACAAGGTAAGTGTGTTATATGTTTGCAGTAAGCTATCTTTGATATGCTAAGCAAGGCTTGGAAACTATAAACAGCAGAAGACATTTAACATCACCCAGTAATTATCTAGTTTTCCTTACTTCTATATACAGACAGTTACTAACCAAACAAGTATTAACATCCTGAAAAGTTGGTTTCCATATCCAACGTCCTGGTTTCAGAGGTCTGAGTTGTGAGGAAGTTTGGCATTGGACTCAGTGACCAGCAGTTCTATGTGATTGACCTGCTTGTTTTTGAATGCCTCTGCAATTGTTCGAGCAGCTCCTATGTGTGCCATACCTGACAAAGATTGACCATTCACTTCAAGAATGATCTGTCCAGGCTTCAAACGTCCTGACTCATATGCTGACCCTCCAGGCTGGAAAGGAAAAACACATCATCTAACATGATAATCATCATGATATTTTATACATCTGATTTTAACCTTTTTTAATGTTCCTTTTCAATGTAATATGATAAATACTAAACCAGAAAACATCACACAATACTGCATTTACACACTGAATACAACTAAAGGACCGTTACCTGCCAATGATGTCATTGTATCTATGCAACTGTAATAGAGAATCTAAAGTGGGATTAATTTTTTTTTAATTCATTTTCAAAAATTCCCATTGGCGATTTAAAGGACAGCACTGTATCTATTCACATTTACAAACTACATTGAATAGCTTGCTAAGAGTCAATCAGAGACAGAATAACAGATCTTTTCACTCAAACCTGGTGATGGGCTGTTACAGGACAATAAAAAGAGCACTTGCTGGTGACTCAACAGAACAGCAATAGATATAATTAGCTTATAATTGTGCATGGCTTGATTACTTGATAGCTTCAGTGATGCAATTGGGTATAGAAGGGTTAAGTTTTGTGGATGGTGACTTTACATTCAGACTTACCTGTACATTGGTAACTTTAGGGAGAGGCTATCGTATGTTGGCCCCTCCCTCTACGGCCAGCCCCAGGGTGGGTTTAATTTTGTGGATGGTGACTTACCTGTACGTTGATGATTTTAGGGAGTGGCTGTTGTGTGTTGGCCCCTCCCTCTATAGCCAGCCCCAGGGTGGGTTTAGTTTTGTGGATGGTGACTTTACATTCAGACTTACCTGTACGTTGATGACTTTAGGGAGTGGCTGTCATGTGCTGGCCCCTCCCTCTATGGCCAGCCCCAGGGTAGGTTAAGTTTTGTGGATGATGACTTACCTGTACGTTGATGACTTTAGGGAGTGGCTGTCGTGTGTTGGCCCCTCCCTCTATGGCTAGTCCCAGGGTAGGTTTAGTTTTGTTGATGGTGACTTACCTGTACGTTGATGACTTTAGGGAGTGGCTGTCGTGTGTTGGCCCCTCCCTCTATGGCCCAGTCCCAGGGTAGGTTTAGTTTTGTGGATGATGACTTACCTGTACATTGATGACTTTAGGGAGTGGCTGTCGTGTGTTGGCCCCTCCCTCTATGGCCAGCCCCAGGGTAGGTTTAGTTTTGTGGATGATGACTTACCTGTACGTTGATGACTTTAGGGAGTGGCTGTCGTGTGTTGGCCCCTCCCTCTATGGCCAGCCCCAGGGTAGGTTTAGTTTTGTGGATGATGACTTACCTGTACATTGATGACTTTAGGGAGTGGCTGTCGTGTGTTGGCTCCTCCCTCTATGGCCAGCCCCAGGGTAGGTTTAGTTTTGTGGATGGTGACTATCTCCAGAGGAATATCTCCATACTTCTCTCTTGCAGCAGCAATCAACACGGCTTCCTGTTTGATATAAAATAAAAAAGGATAATACTCAGGACAGGTTCACAACAAATGATTTCTTGATACTTAAATATTTTACCTGTTTACAACAATTATTTGCCATTTGTTTAGTTCAGAAAAAAGAAATCATTCTGTGAATTCAGAACCTCATAAAATAATAAAACAAAAAGCTGTACATTCAATCACTATTATATCCAACCAAATTCTTCAATCCAACAGATGTGGTAAGTTCCACAATGTATAGGTTTTGTAATTTTTTGCTTCAAGCTGTAATCATCAAAAAAAAAAAAAAAAAGAAGGGAGCAAAAAATATCCTCATATTGTAATATATAGATATTTTCATACTCAGAAAAAAACTCCTGCAGTAAAAAACACATAAACACCAAAACACCTTCTTCTCTCGTTCCAGAATGGCCATTTCTACAGTGGTAAAGACCTGTGGTCGTGGTATCCGAAGTGGTACAACTTTGAGGAGGTTGTCCATGGCTATGTTTACACTCTTGTAGTAATCAGTATTGAGTAGGAACATCCCATTTAAAGCATTTATATGTTCTACAAAAAGCGTTCAAAGTCACTGAAAACACTAGAGGCTTTTCCTGCTAAAATCTGAATTAAAATAAATTCTAATGCTTTAGACAGTTCAATATATCACTGCTGCCATTTCCTAAGAACCAACCAAATGCTTATTCAACAAGTAAGAAATCCACAGTAAAGCTGAAAACCTCTGTTTGATAACTCTATCTGTCAAGCTTTAATGCTTTCCAGAGCCATGAATATTACTAAATACATCCTTATGTTTCACAGAGCTACCAGTTCTGTCAGACTCTATCTCTCAGGACTATTATAGATAAATGTCAGTGGTGAGCTGGTGACGTAGTTTATTAATACAATATATCGTTCATTGTCAGCCAGGTAATAAATAACATATATATGGATAAACGAGTGCGACCTTCATCTAAGCTGATCTTTATGTCAGTTCTTCTAGAATATCACACTAACAAATGGAATCTCTTTTCACAATGAACTAGAAATGCAATACTCTGTAATTAGCATGGCACATGTCTCCTGACAAATGATAGCTAATTGATACACCTGATCTGCGGTACCTTCCCGGGTGTAATTAACGATTGACAAATAAAATCTGATGTCTCCAGCTATGTGGTGACAGTGCTGAGGTAGATTGGTGTTGCTTTGGGTGTGGTCCATGTAATAGGCTTTTATAAGTGTAATCTGATATATTGATATTTCTATAGTGACGTGGTGAAAAGTCACAATTAGTGACTACCGTTAACCTCAAATCAGTTTGAATCATGAAATAAATATATTCTAATAACCCTTGTATGCAAAAAATAAAATCTACAAAAACAGATGAAAATAAAATAATCCTGGACATGTAAAAACAAAATTTATATGAGATTCATGTTGAATTTCTGTATCCTATTTGACTTTTTGTCAAATATTGTTTGAAAAATATAAGATTTCTCTTACAAACATTTGAAATATCTATAAAATTAATTTGTAGATTATTGTGTGGTCAAAATAAGATAGAACTAGATTGTTTGCTAGAATTTCAACTGATAACATCTCTATTAGGTAGATAATTAACTAAATAAAACTAAATCCAATAACAAAAAGTACTTTCATCTTTATCATTAAATTATTATAACTTTACTATCTGTAGCTGAGCAGCTACTTGACTGTTAGGAACTAGCAGGTGATTGATTACCATGTTTACTTTGTCAGAAAATGCCAAAAAATGTTAAACATCACTGTTCTGTTAAAGAAGTAAGACATAAAGTGGATTAATCTTTTAAATCATGTAATCAAATAATTGGTGTCAATTTCATTTTCAATTAATTTTCCACTACAGTTTTGTTTTCAACTCCCTACTACTTGTGATATCCCACTGAAATCTTGACTTGTAATCCCTAAACCTCTATCAAACCCCGAATCAAAAACATTCGATTCTTAACTTTACTTATCCCAAAATAATCCGAATGGGCCAAGACTGAAATTCTAACTCAAAGTCAGGGGGTGGGCTTATTACAGGACAATGAAATGATCTGTTTGTAATTCTGTTAAACATCAATACATCAGCATAGGCAAGTTTCTTAACAGATATAGCCTAAAAGGTAAATAAATAAACAGTATCTTTAAACCTCACCTTCTCTCTATTTCACAAGTGTTTATATTGTCAATTCTCACACTAGTTTCTGGTATATATATCCAATATTCAGATTTAGTAACACTTAATTCTTCATCAATGTATTTATCCATACATACATGTAACAGATCTGTACAACCAACGAGTGAGTTATAGTCATGATGCTCTTTGCAATTTAAAACGACATCCGTAATTATTTCTTGACAAAATATCCAAGTCTCATTTTATCCTATACATATCACCTACCCTGCATTAGAATGAAATGATTTGAGTTAAAATAGAACCTGAGTTGAATTATCTAAAAGAGAAATACAGGATTGTTTCCATTTTTATCTCGTTAATTTTAATAAGCTATGTTATAGATAAGATTAGTATACCATATTCTGCTCTTCAACACACATGGTAAGCACAGTTAGTGGTCCAGAATTGATAATAAAAATGCATGTTTCTATGGCAACAGTACAGGTGGAAAATAACGAGAGTTATTATTATACCTATACCAGGGAAATATACTATTTCATTCGTATTACCAGCTAGATCAATAGACTTGTGTACATGTATAAACAAGGTGACTGTCCCCTCTTCATCTGCTAGTCATCGTAACCGGATCTCAATTATGTATTAAAGACGCAAATATCATGTAGTTAATTGTTACATGGTCAACTTCACTAATCAAACAGGGATGAAAACTTCTGTGAATAGGTTCCCAAATAAAGGTAGGGAGAACCAAAGTGTTGCAATTTACTTGTCAAAAGTATAAACTTAATTAGTAGATACAAATTGATAAACACTAAAGCTGACATACAAGCTGGTAAACATAATACATATGTATACACGGAAAGAACACCAACATTTCTATGAATACACAGTACAATCATAGGATAGGAACTACAGCCTATTTTTTCTATGTAAATTCACCATCTAAGTACATCTGTATACCAGAAATCCTTAAGATCCCAACAATACATTACAAGGTTTTACTACCTCATTAAAGTGGTTGGCCATTATTTCAAATTCTTGGGCCCAAGGTCGTTCATTTCGGTCCAAGGTTGACGTTGCAGATCTTGCTGACAAGGCGTCATCAATGTCAATGGGGTTGTCTGCTGATATCGTCACCCTGCCAATGATGAATAGACTATTCAATCCAAATGTCGAGACTTCAACAACAGTTATCACCAGGAGATTTTACTGGCATACATCACCATGAAGTAAAAGGCGTGGTTTTTGTTTGAATTTCTTTGAATATGTTTAAAGTCTTCATGAATTTGACAGTCTGTTGACATGAATACAGTATATGATGTCATACATGTACAAATATAGTGAATTTGAAATGTAAATAAGAAATAGGAGATAAACAAATTGAAAAATATGTTTTGGTGGCAATTTTTGCATAAACAATCTTTTGTAAGTTTATACTACTCTTCTTATACAGCTGATATAGGTCTGTCACATATAGAGTTATAGGGGGTAAAGATCTCTTATCACCAACATAAATTCAAACAAATGTATTACCTGTAGAGAAATTTTGAACACGTTTCTTTAATTTCTTTCTTACCTTTATTTTCATTATATCATTGCACGAACAGTTATATACACAATATTCTATCACACAACTATCCTGTGTACAGTGTATTAACACCCATTACATAACTGTTTCTGTAATTACACATGTAATATGACCTGGTTGAGCTACAAATAGCTGAAGGTTCCAATTGTTTCCACTGTGATGTCAAACCTTCATGGTGTAATATGTATTGTGACACTGCCAGAGATAAGAGTGAGTGTTAGCCAAATCAGAATATGTTTCTTAGAAAAAGCTGTTTTCATGAATTTTTACAAAAAATATATCTAAATTCTGTGATAAATTGAACCTCATTTTCATTTCTATTTCAAATAAAGAAGTTTCCCTTGCCATAAGCTCATAAAAATAAAAATTCTAAAACCTATTTCATAAATCACATATAAATGGGAATTCATAACAGAATTCTGTTCAATTGATGATGATATTTCTACTTCAGTGTTGAAATTGGCTTATAAGAATGAATGCATGAATCTTTATAGCTGTACACATGTTGTACAATGCTGCTTCCATCCTTTTTGTGTAGTATGATTAAATGTTTTTTTAACTAAGTCAAATTGTAAGCATATGTATATTTTTCAGTACACTCAAAAGAAGTCATTTGAGTGTTTATGGTTCCTTAGATGAAGTCTGACCAAATTTGGGGAAACAAATGCCATTGACAATATTCAAGGTCATAGGGGTCAAAGTTGTTACATGCTCAAATGACTTATTCCTTATCATTTTATTGGACACAAAATTTTAACAAAGGGAGATATTTCTAAGGGATTCTAAGGGATTTAAGGGATTCCACACTGAATTGGGTACACTGCACATCTCTTAGTATGACCAATGTAAACACAATGTATCATCATACTAGTTTCAAAGCAGGCTAAGTTATACTCTGGACATGAAAGTTAAACAAAGGGCAACAACTCAAATAACTCCAACAAAATTTCATAATCCTTGCGTAACTATGGGTAAATTTATGCTCCAGACACAAAAGGATGTATTTATTTACAGATAAGCAAAGTGGCAACAAAGCAGAAAGCATAATAACAACATTTGGTCAGGACCATCTAAAGATCATTTCACACAAGTCTGAGTTAAAATCCACTTGAGGGAAATCAGAAGTGTGAAACAGGTGTTGTTTTAACAAAGCTGAAAAATAAAAACATTTGGTCAACTTCCATTCCTTATCACCCCTGCCAATTTTCAGTTGAGTGACTTATTTTTGAAACAAGGTTAACATATACAACTTATATATAGTAATGTACAGTAGGAAATAGAACCAAGACAATCTTTTTATTTGATGTAGGTCAAAGGTCAAAATATAGGTTTGAGTAACCTACCTTTGATTCATGAAACACCATCTCACTAAGGTGACCATACCCTAAGTATGAAGTTCCCATGACAAGCCGTGTAGGAGATAAAGCCCACACAAGATAGTGGATGAACAGACAGACGGATGGATATAAGGCAAAACTATAGTCTTCTTACCCCAATTCTCATAGGTAAATAAAAGTAACAACATTTAAGTCAGGACCTTCTCAGGATCATTTAAAGCAAGTCTGAGATGAATCCTAGAGGTAAGACACGAGAATTTAAAATGTGAAAAGTTTATGAAGATGTCAAAACACAAATCATGAAGATTAAAGGTCATCTAGACCCTATGGTTATACTGACTACTTAACAACACTGACATAAACTGGAGATTAGAGTGAATATTGGGGAGATGGATGGAAAGGATCAGTAACATAAAAAAAAATATCTCAGGGATAAAAAACTAAATCATAAAGAATTTGTTACACAAAGTTTGAAACATGCATTCTATGCTACTCCTTATTCTGTCTCTCAGTAACTATCATAGCCAGTATCTGTAGGTCTGGTAGGTCAGAAATACTGCATTTCCTTTACCTTAACAGCAAAGCAAATGTGACAACAAAAATGTAACATAACTTTGAAAATTCTAAGCTATACATTTGATTCTCAAAACAAAATTATAACAATTTTGATAAAATGATCAATACATGCAAATATTTTGATAAGCAGTGTTTGTTTCTACAGATGTCAGGCCTCTAACTACGTGCCATAAGAAATATTAAGTTTTAAAACCTAATTGCAACGCTAATGTGTGCTACCTTTTCCGTTTAAGGGAAGATGTCATTCCCATAAAGAATCTGAGAAATAAACATGAAAAAATGATTACAGTATTCAATGAAAGCTTTTTCGGCATTGAATTTTTGTTTTTTGTAGATCAAAAGGGAAGTTCGATGTTCATTATATTTACTATTTTGATTTCCTGTCTCAGAGACCCGAGACTATTCCATGAAAGTGATATGTTTTCTGACAGTATCAATAACATAAAGACATCACAGTTAATATAATGTATCTATTAAACACAATTTTTTTTGACACACGTTAAAAATTTGTCTTCTCCATCTTCATCACGTTGGTAGGATATCTGTACACAATGAAAGAGTAATATCTTTTTTATGTTACATCAATTTGAAATTTATGTATGTATATATACAAGTTAAAAACACATATATATGACTGATGATTTACAGAAAAAAATGATGGTATGAGCTAGTACATTTATTTGTATAATATAAACAAAATTTTGAGAATCATAACAAACTCAATAAACTTACTGTTCCTGCTCATGTTGCGATGTGTTGTCATGGCGACTACTGCCATTTAAATCTACGCCACTGTCATCATCAGGACTGTGGTTATCAGGTGCCTGATAACAAATAATCAAATAAATGTAAATAAATCTTAACATGTATGGAAAGTCTTATTCTAATCCAATTCAAATAAGGCTATTTAAATCTTTTAACACAAATTTCATCTATGAACCGAACAGGAAACATTGATTTATTTTACTAATGTTTCTCTTGTAATATAAGCTCTAGTAATCATTAAGTTTCGGTAGAAATAGCATCCAACTCTCCACATCTCATCTTCCTTCTCTACCTCTACACATCTTCCTACATCCCACTTTTCTATATCCCACCACCTTTCTACATCCATCCTCTCTATACGCCACCTCTCACCTATATCTCACTTTCCTTCTACACCCCATCTCTCTAAACTCCTTCCTATAACTCACCTCTCTACATCCCACTACCTACACCCCACCTCTCCATAACTCATCTCTCTACACCCCACCTCCTTACACCCCAGCTCTCTATACCCCACCTTCTACATCCCTCTCTACAACTCAACTCTTTACACCCCACTTCCTAAACCCCACCTTTCTACACCCCTCTCTACATCTCATCTCTCTACACCCCCTCTCCTTACACCCCACCTCTATATACCCCACCTTCTACATCCCTCTTCCTACAATCCACCTCTCTACACCCCCTCTACAACTCAACTCGTTACACCCCTCTTCCTACATCCCCACCTCTCTACCCCCACTCCCTTTACCCCACCTCTCTTCACCCCACTTCTCTACACCCCTCCCCCCTACATCCCTCTTCCTACACCCCACCACTCTACACCCCTCTTCCTACACCCCACCACCCTACAACCCCCCTACACCCCACCTCTCTACACCCCTCTTCCTACCCCCCCCCCTACACCCCACCTCTCTACACCCCTCTTCCTACACCCCACCTCTCTACACCCCTCTTCCTACAACCCACCTCTCGACCCCCCTACACCCCACCTCTCTACACCCCCCCCCTACACCCCACCTCTCTACACCCCTCTTCCTACACCCCCCCCTACACCCCACCTCTCTACACCCCTCTTCCTACACCCCACCACTCCACACCCCACCTCTCTACACCCCACCTCTCTACATCCCTCTTCCTACTTCCTACACCCCACCTCTCTACCCCCCCTACACCCCACCACTCTACACCCCCCCTACACCCCACCACTCTACATCCCACCTCTCTACACCCCATTTCCTAAACCCCACCTCTCTATACCCCCCTCTACATCTCATCTCTCGATACCCCATTTCCTACACCCCACCTCTCTACCCCCCCTCTCCCTACACCCCATCTCTCTACACCCCTCTTCCTACACCCCACCTCTCTATGCCCCCCTCTACATCTCATCTCTCTATACCCCATTTCCTACACCCTTCTCCCTACACCCCACCTGTTTACGTAAGACTTCTCTACAGCCCACCACTTTTTAACCTCTTTACACCCCGCCTGTCTACAACTCACTTCTCTTCACCCCACTTCTCAATATACCACCTCTCTACACTGAACAAGACATTTCTCTTCAATTACCTCTATCTGAATTAGTATAGGGAAAACCCTACATTTTGAAATTTTGCAGTGTTATATAGTTATTAAACTGACACTAAACTTATTTTTACGACATCCAATAAGTGAAACCACAAATTTGCAATCGTGAGGGTTTATCTCCTAATACTTGGGATTAATAAGTAAAATAAATATCTTTGATTTACCTTGTTGTACTGATGAACTTCGGCATGAACTGCATTTTCTGTGGTGACCCTTGAATCACGGTTTGATGAGGCTGGATTATTGAGTATAAAATTGTTATCTCTATAACTGCTATCATCAGTCAACCTACTGCTAACTGACTTTGAACCTCTGTAATTGACATCACCTGTCAATATTTTGGACTCTGACTTTGAACTTTTGTGACTGACGTTATCTGTCAACTGTCTATTGACCTCTGACCTGGGACTTTTGTGATTGACATCCTCCATAGATCCACTGACCTCTGACCTTTGAATCCCTGGCCTTGTTAGAGATTGAGGTGTTGAAGAGTTTGATTTCCTGTAAATGCAAAATCCATTACATTGTCTGACTTCAAACTTGAGAGAAGTGATTGGAATAAATCTTTCTAGTGCTGTATGGAATTCTTCAGCCTTTGACAGTATACAAGATAATGTGACACTAATTAAAGAAATTACTTAGTTATGGTCTCAACAAGCAAAGGCTTACAGACAGTCTGGACAGACAATGCCATATCCTATCTGATGATGGGGATATGACAGTCTGGACAGACAATGCCATATCCGATCTGATCATTGGGGATAAAACAGTCTGGACAGACAATGCCATATCCTATCTGATGATGGGGATAAGACAGTCTGGACAGACAATGCCATATCCTATCTGATGATGGGGATAAGACAGTCCGGACAGACAATGCCATATCCTATCTGATGATGGGGATAAGACAGTCTGGACAGACAATGCCATATCCTATCTGATGATGGGGATAAGACAGTCTGGACAGACAATGCCATATCCTATCTGATGATGGGGATAAGACAGTCCGGACAGACAATGTCGTATCCTATCTGATGATGGGGATAAGACAGTCTGGACAGACAATGCCATATCCTATCTGATGATTGGGGATAAGACAGTCTGGACAGACAATGTCATATCCTATCTGATGATGGGGATAAGACAGTCTGGACAGACAATGCCATATCCTATCTGATGATGGGGATAAGACAGTCTGGACAGACAATGCCATACCCTATCTGATGATAGGGATAAAACTAATCAAACTTAACATGATAACCAACAGTCATATTTTAAAAGTGTCTTCACTAGAACATCAATATTGATTATATTTTTTCTCGAATATGAGACCAGCAAGTCATAAGTGCTACCCTGTGCTACTTTTTTTGTCTTCTCCAATCTCTCTAATACCTTTGTGTGATATTTGGTGCCAAGTAACACCATAATAAAAGCAATATCAATTTCAATTGTCTCTCTTATATATAACCAAAAAGTCAAGTCATCTAATCAACTAGATGATTTTGTTCAATTTTGACAAGATCAAGAAATAGAATATATTCCCCCTATAAGTTTGAGATCAATTTATCTAAGTCTCCAACTGACATTCTTTAACATTGCAATTGAGGGAAAGTTGAAAATGCCGTTTTGTTACAGAATATCAGTCGGAGACTGAGATAGATTGATCTTAAACGTATGCAGGTAACAGAATCTGGTAATATATTCTGGTCCAGATCTTCATTTCTGCTGTCAAAATCTAAATGTACGGATGATCTTTATAGGGTGTAGAAAGTGTCACAAATCTTTTTAAATAATTTAAAAAAAAATAATCGTTTACCTGATGGGGACATCCTTCATAGGAATTCTCTTTGGAGTTCCAGTTATCTGTAAAGACTCGTTGTACCTAGAATCAGTCAAGCGTGACAGGCGGTCCTCTGCTGAGGACAGATGTGAGGGGCCAGGTTTGGGAGAGGGCGTGTGTCTGTACTGTTCACTGATAAGGCTGGACTGGGAGGAGGAAGGCTGAAGGGGGTACATTTCATGATGTGAAGAGGCAGGACTGGCCATACTGCTACTGGACTGGGTGTAGCCTTGGTCACTAAACTGTAACAACACAAAAACAATCTGTCTCAGATTTTATGTCAATTTCACAGCAGAAAATTAAAAAAATAATAAAATATATAGCAGAGACATTTGGACATTCCTTTGGAGAAATAGCAATGATAATCTTTACCTGCAGAGTGATTTGAACAGCCCACCATCATAAGATGGTGGGTTGAGAAAAGAAAAAAAAAGTAAAAAAATAATAAAATTGTTCTATAAGCAATGTCCTGTTTGGCTAAGAGTTTCATTCATACCCTACCTGTGGGAGATGGTCTGGTAGTCTATCGATGATTCCATCAATACTGATCTGTTCTATGGCCAGTCGTAAGGCCTCAAGGTCATTCTCTGTAATCACCTAGACACAATAGTGTTATCAGATATATATACATAAAAGTAACACAAATATCAATAATATGTTGTCATTTCATCACCAGTGGAAACTTACAATATATTTAATAACATCCAATGACAACTGGCAGTTTAGACCAACCAGCAGGAGGCACAGGCCCTGTGGGCCTGTAATGATTGGACTTTTTAAACAGAATTTCTTCTGGAAACTTTCCTGTGCAATCAAAACCTTAAATACCCCTAATTGTTAGTACTGTAAAGGTTGCATTTTTTTAAGGGGTTCTGTTTTTCACTTTTTTCAATGATTTATTGACAGAAAATTATTGAAAGATTGGCTACATAAACAAGGACTTTCCTACCTGAGAAGATGGAGGTCTTTTGTCAGCCCACCTTCTTGAGGCATCTTCTGACCGATAACTAGCATTGTCTGATTCCTGTTGGAAAAGAAATAAATACCTGTCCAAATATTTTGATCATTTTATCTGGAAATAAACAATTCTGTAAGAGGAAATTTACAGTAGCCAGAAAAAACCCATATGGTCAGTCAGATGACTATGGACACGTAGGATAAAGGTGAGTACATTCCCACAGGGCAATCTAATAATCCTAATGTGTGTTAAAAACACTGCTACTTCTCCAATAGCAATAGCAACATGATAAATGACACTGAAATTACGTCAAAAGATACCTTAGATTTCTTTTCTTATTTCATCCTACACAATACCATCCAGATATTACTAATCACCACAGACAATCAATACCCTTTTTGGTATAATTCTTGGACAGAACTTGATGTAGGAGGTTTTATTACAAGGTACTGCCTAAAGATGGTAAGAAAAATAAAGAACATATATTACCTGTCTGGAAGAAGACACAAGGTTCCTCTTTTTCTTACTGCGAACTTTTACTTCATTAGATAAGTTGGAGTGCCTGTCGGGGTATTTATCAGCATGCTTGTCTGAGAACAGGAAGTCTGCTGGGCGTGCCTGAAAAACGTGATTTTCCTAATCATACTCTCATGTAATCATCACAGCAAATTTGTATTATTTTTCACATTACTACCAGCAGAATCAATTACTATGAAATCTCTACCACAATCTACAACTGTCTGTGTGTATTGGCCTCACCATTCTTGATTCTATTTCTCTTTGTTTGGTAAGCAGGTCAAACTTCTCTAAGTCCTTAGCCAGGATAATGTTTCTGATCTCTGACATCAGGGTATACTGAAATATAAAACAGATGGTAAGACAAAAGTTCCTTAATACTTTACATCACCAGCCATTTACTGGTATAGTTTATTTAGGTGGTGATGAATTCAGACTGATTCAATGTACTGTAGATATGGTTCACATCAGAGTCCTTTTCTACAGAAGGACCTAAAGAGGTTGGTAAGAGAGACTAGTTTCACATAAAAGTGCAGGATAAACATTTGAATGGAAAGGAGTAAAAAAGCAAGTTCTGTGAATGTTTAGTCCAGCAATTACAGACAAGACTGGCAGTTTGTAATTTTGGAGGGTCGTGTAAGTCATTAAATAGTCATTTTTGCAAAAACCTTTCTAATCTTTATCAATATTTCCTCCCTAATTCCATCCTAATCCTATACCTTTGCATGTGTATTGAGGAGCTCTGTCAGTGCTAGCACAAGTCCTTCCACTGTGATGTGATCTCGTTGATACTCCTTCAGATAGTACCGCATTGTTCCATGTTCCGTTTCGTTGAGCTGCTGACCACCAACCTCCTCTATCATATTCCATTTGGAGTTGGCAAGAGAAGTTAGCATCAGCTGAGACCCTGCTCCCTTGGAAAACCCCGACTGTGAGAGAAATGTTGGTAAATATGTTACAAAAAATATTGATATACAAATAAGTTACTTAGTTGAAGGTCACAACTGAGATCTAAATGCTTGTATGAGGAAAATATTTGTAAATTGACAGTGAGATTGGTAAATGAGTGGTAGGCACAGAACCTCAATTGACAGTGAGGGTAGTTAATGCATGATAAAAGTTTGTTCGTTGAGAGAGGTTTGAGAGTACAGATTCCCAACAAGCAGTGAAAGTAGTTAATGAGTGGAAGTTTGATCCTTGAGATAAGGTTGAGGGTACAGAACCCCAATTGACAATGAGGGTAGTTAATGCGGGATAAAAGTTTGACCCTTGAGATAAGGGTGAGGGTATAGATTCCCCACAGACAATGAGGGAAGTTAATGAGTGGAAGTTTGATCCTTGAGATAAGTGTGAGGGTACAGATTCCCCACAGTGAGGGTAGTTAATGAGTGCAAGTTTGATCCTTGAGATAAGTGTGAGGGTACAGATTCCCAACAGACAGTGAGGGTAGTTAATGAGTGGAAGTTTGATACTTGAGATAATGGTGAGGGTATAGATTCCCCACAGACAGTGAGGGTAGTTAATGAGTGGAAGTTTGATCCTTGAGATAAGTGTGAGGGTACAGATTCCCAACAGAAAGTGAGGGTAGTTAATGAGTGCAAGTTTGATCCTTGAGATAAGTGTGAGGGTACAGATTCCCAACAGACAGTGAGGGTAGTTAATGAGTGGAAGTTTGATACTTGAGATAATGGTGAGGGTATAGATTCCCCACAGACAGTGAGGGTAGTTAATGAGTGGAAGTTTGATCCTTGAGGGTACAGAACCCCAATTGACAATGAGGGTAGTTAATGCGGGATAAAAGTTTGACCCTTGAGATAAGGGTGAGGGTATAGATTCCCCACAGACAATGAGGGAAGTTAATGAGTGGAAGTTTGATCCTTGAGATAAGTGAGGGTAGTTAATGAGGGAGTTAATGAGTGCAAGTTTGATCCTTGAGATAAGTGTGAGGGTACAGATTCCCAACAGACAGTGAGGGTAGTTAATGAGTGGAAGTTTGATCCTTGAGATAAGTTGAGATCCCCACAGACAATGAGGGTAGTGAGGCAAGTTTGATCCTTGAGATAAGTGTGAGGGTACAGATTCCCCATGACAATGAGGGTAGTTAATGAGTGGAAGTTTGAACCTTGAGATAAGTGTGAGGGTACAGATTCCCCACAGTGAGGGTAGTTAATGAGTGCAAGTTTGATCCTTGAGATAAGTGTGAGGGTACAGATTCCCAACAGACAGTGAGGGTAGTTAATGAGTGCAAGTTTGATCCTTGAGATAAGTATGAGGGTACAGATTCCCCACAGACAGTGAGGGTAGTTAATGAGTGGAAGTTTGATCCTTGAGATAAGTGTGAGGGTACAGATTCCCAACAGTGAGGGTAGTTAATGAGTGGAAGTTTGAACCTTGAGATAAGTGTGAGGGTACAGATTCCCCACAGACAGTGAGGGTAGTTAATGAGTGCAAGTTTGATCCTTGAGATAAGTGTGAGGGTACAGATTCTCCACAGACAATGAGGGTAGTTAATGAGTGGAAGTTTCATCCTTGAGATAAGTGTGAGGGTACAGATTCCCAACAGTGAGGGTAGTTAATGAGTGGAAGTTTGATTCTTGAGATAAGTGTGAGGGTACAGATTACCCATAGTGAGGGTATTTAATGAGTTGTACATGTAGGTTTGAGGTTACTGTTAGTTATGACTCATGTTAAAATGGTACAGAATATCTGTGCATTGACAACTTCAAAATAAATGTTAATATACACTTGGGGAAACAATTCGTTTAAGAATAGATGTGTACTTACTTTGGGGGTGAGCTTGAGGCTTGTTGATGAACTTCCAGTACCTTTACTTACATTAGGGGTCAGTGTACTGGACGAGGTCAAGGTGTCTGTACTAAGGGACAGTCTGAAATTAACAAACAAGGAAAATGTACATTAGAGCTTAGTAACAATGTAGCTGCTACATATGACAGATTTCTCATTCCAAAATGGGATAAACTAATTCCTTTTTTCTTAAGTAGAAATTTGGAGAAATTTTAAGCTAAAAAATGTTTATCCTGCAATGATCTCAAAAGGCTTAAACATTAACTAGGTGAGGTTTTCAATCTACTTTTTAAGAAAATGTTTTTTGGCATTTCAGAAGAAATAAAATATGTAGGGGTGACATAATTAACAGATATCCACCAGATCCTTATGACTAATACATTCTTGAAATATTTTGATAACGTTTTGATGACATATTACTTTCTACTACATATACATTCTAAATGAAATTCATCTAATTCATCCTAAAATTGGCAAAGTCTTAATTCTGGTTACAATAAATCCTGGTCTGCCATACCCACCCCCTGGCCAAGTCAATCCCATCCTCTAAAACCATGGCAGGGAGTAGTTACGTTGGGTGGTAAATTTAATGTGTTTCCAACAGAAAAAAGCACCCTAAATACTGCAGATATACAGGACATACAATAACAACAGATGTCTACATGAGTTTGGTGTTTGGAGTTGGATATATACTGTTTGGATTGGTACTCACTGACTACTAGATCTGGAGCCTGTCATCAGGGACTGGTTGATCCACTGTGTTTTATCAATGGTGGTCCGAGCAAAGGGTAACTTGCCTACATCCTTGAGAGTTAAGACCATCAGTCGCGATGTCTTTAGCACACGGACAGCCTCTGCGTGGGTAGTGTCCAGAAAACTATGACCATTCACGTCCAGTATCTGGTCACCTACCTGTGTAGGTGTAAGATTTATAGAAATTTATAGAAAATATTTCTACTTTTTTATCAACCTGAATCCATGTACCATATCCTGAATCAGAAAAGGCCCAAGGCACTTGTATCTATCTGTATGCAAAAAGACAGGCTGGTTAACCCCTTTCATACCAAAATCATTTGAAGAAATTTTTTCATTGTTGGCATTAAGTAGCTTTATCAAATTCAGAGGATTCTGTAGACTAACCTTTAGACCTGCACTTTTTGCCACTGACCCATGGTCAACACCAGATATGTAGATTCCAAGCCCAAACTCCAGACCCCCTCTAATCATCAATCCAAGTTTGTCCCTCTCACCTACTGCAACATTAACCTGAAAACAGAGGTGTGAGGAAATCAACACCTTTATAAAGTAAAAGAAACCATAGCAATCAAATTCAAGAATACTACCTGTATGTTTATATATTAAAAAAATGAAATATCAACTTTTTAAATCAAATAAGAGGAATCATTGCATCAAAAAGCAAGAGAAATGAATGAAATTTCAAGAAGACAAGAGAATAAGAGATTTGTAAATAAAGATTAAACACCCACTTTTCTCTCATCACTGCTTTTTAGTAGTAGTAGTCCACTTCTGCGTCCAATGGTGCCTGCTTCCAACTTCGCAATCTGTTCTAGTTCTGGTGGTGGAGATACTGCTCTACCATAGGGGTCTACCCATTTGTACATCTGATGGATCTCAAACGATCCTGGAATCCGTCCCACCCGACACACAACTAAGTCTAACCGCCGAGCAGCCTTGATAATCTGAAGTCATTAACATTACATGATGTTTTATATTTCTCACCGTATATATTAAGGCCCAATTATAAACAAGTCTTAAATATATCAATTAATATAAACATCATCTTCACACTGCAGAATATTGGTTATGAAATTAAGTGTTGAAATAAATCATAACAAGAGGCCCATACGGCCTGTATTCTGGGTTTGCTTGCTGAAATCACTTTACGAAAACTAACCATTTCTGCAGGAAGAGTAGGATTTTAAAGAACTTGCAAAATTTTCTGTTTTGGGCCCTGCCCTTCAGGCCACTGGGGCAGGAACCATTATTTATACAAAATATGTGTCTTCCCCCAAAGATGCTGCTGACTAATTTTTGGTCAAAATCTACTTAGTCATTCATGACTAGTAGTTATTTGCAGAAAGAATTGATGGAAGGATGAACGGACAACTGATGCCTTGGGTTGCCAATAGCTGACATAAAGGGCCAGGTGACCTAAAACTTATTATGTCTAACCAATTACACTGTCTTCCTGCTGGTTGTTACTCAGTCAAATATCTCTAAATTACATTTATTTGTGTTTAACTATCTATATCTGATAAAGTAAATGGTGGAGTAGAGTTCAGATAATGTCAGACTCAACAGCCATTTATTTTCTTTGCCATATGTACAATGTTATTGTTTGCCTGATTCTTAACAATAAAATAAAACATTGGCATAGTTCCAATATTTCATCTAAAGCAACTAATCCCTGAGTGCCTTTCTTGCAGAGTGTGTGTTCAGTTAATAGAAAATGCAGGTACAGGTACAATGTATACAGTCTGAAATATTTCAAATTACAGTAAAACTTCAATGTTTCAAAGTTCAAGGAACTAACAACAAAACTTTGAGACATGCATGGTGGTTTATATCAACATTTTCATGTTCGTAGCTATATATGGTTGATGACACGATATTTCTACTTGAACAAACACAACAAATACCAAAACACAAGTTTTAATCAAAAGATGCATTTTTATCTTTAAACAAAACATTTTCATTCATGAAAAAAAACATAACTTTAAAAAGAAATCAATGAGAGATTGATCCATCATGTCACACAGTATATGCATTTTATGGATCAATTTTAAATGAAACGACGCGCAGCATTAAAGTGGTCTTCACATGTTACAGTAATTATTTTGGGACTGATACAAAAATATTGAAGGCACTAATGAATTCAAATGAAAGAAAATTAATATAATGTATTCTGTCCAGAAACGACTGCATTAACGTCACATCTCTTCAGTTGAAGAAATTACAGGAGTGGATGGATGCTTTGATGACGGCTAGTCTGAATCAATCAAAGAACGCATGATTTACTGATAGATCATAGTGTTTCTCATGCTTTTATGCTTAATTCTAAAAAGTGACACTTTGGGAATGAGTGAAATCATCATACAAGTGATAGGATTTCCTCTGATTGCTTTCAAAATTCCTGTAAATTAGACCTAATTCAATGCCATTACCACAATGGCGGCGGTGAACAGCACATGAAGTCCCATTATCAAAAATGGGGCAGCCAGGCAGAAGGCAAGGGAAGGATGTTGTAGAACTCCATAAATTTATGGTAAGTATTACATCATGAAATTTGGTTTTACTATATATTTCAGTAATAATTACCATAACTTTAGTATACAAATTCATCTTACTATAGCGGAGACTTTGAGGCCAGGCAGCCAATCACAGTACAACCTAGAGAAAACTCCAGGTAGGGCCAGAAAGGTTCAGTGAACCCTACCAAAAAGTTCCAGATAAACTTTGGAGAGTACCTCCCTGTGAAGAAGTAGGTGCCCAAGGGTGGCCCCTAAATGCACAAGAATAAAAGATACCCCAGATTACTGAGGAGACCGAGCCACCACTAGAGGGCCAATAGAGCACTGACCCTTAGTATGAGTTGCCAAGGACCACAGATAGAAATCTGTGAAATCATTCCTGATCTGCCAAAAGGCAGCGGACATGACTTCCTGAAAAGAGGACCCATCGAAGAAGGTCTAAGATTCAGTGAGAGCCCTAATCTCATGAACTCGCATCTTTAATCTTACCCAAACCTGATCATCTGAACGCTCATAAGTGTACCTGATGACCTGGCAAACCCTACTTGAAACTGACTAGGAAGAAACATCCTGATTACCCAGTTTGATGGGCTAAAGCAGGCAGGATTGAGGACTCTGGCATGCATCCCCTCCCAGTCCAGAGAGAGTCTGAGAGCTGTTCCCAGACCATTCCCATGAGCGGCACTGACCGTTGAGGTAAGGACCCCAACATGTCATGGAAGCATCTGTGAACAGGGTTATAGAGGGTGCCGGCTTGGACAAAGGAACCCTGACATTCTCCTGAAATGTCAACCAATGGTTGAACTCATTGACTGACTGGTTGAAAGGAAGCCATACTTCCCCATCCCTAGAAGAAGGGACCCAGTTGGCCAGAAAAACATCTGTAGAAGTCTGTTGTGAAGTCTCCCTAACATCTGCCTGGGAGTTGAGATAACCCAGAAAACTGAGAAACCAATACACTTAGACACGTGACTAGCCAATGAAGGTCAGAGCAAGAGCCCTTGCCTTCTCGAATTTTTCCAAATGTTATAGGGCTATTCCCTGAATGGTAATAAATCGATTCCCCAGGAAAACAGAATCCTGAGATGGGGAGACTTCTCTCTGGAAGGAATTTGGGAAATTCCCCTTGGCAACCCTGAACAGGAAACTCTGGACCGGCACCTGGAACCTCAGTGGGTGAGTAACCCAGTCCAACATTGACGCCAGGATAAGCAAGCAGCGCATCACTAATCCCAGTAGAAACAGACAATCCCAAAAGGAATTCTGTAACACCGGGACCTGAACTTAGAAGGACAGGCCTGGCATCTAGGCTGCCACCACCAACAGACCTCCTGAGACAGGCCCACCGATCAGCTGAGAGCCGGAAACAGAACTCCTAACGGGATGCCTGCTCCTACTGGAAGTAGAAGGCAATCTTTATCAATCGATGGGCAGGAAGAAGTTTGATGCCCAGGCTGGAACATCTTGACTTGAGACCCTCCATGAGAACAAAGTTCTTAAAAAACTTAAAGGCAAACAATGGAAGAAAAGGAAAACAATGCCACTTGTCCATGTGGGGGATGCAAATGGCCCATGGAATTGTACGGAGGGCGGCATTTTTTAATATTTTGTTTTTGGGCTACAAAGCTAGATGTAGGTACCGTATTTGTTCACTAAAGTTATGGTAATTATTACTGAAATGAAATTATATTTTCCAATACCGTTTTGGACACATATGTCAAAGTTCGGGATATACTGAAGAATGCAATAGAATTCTAGCTTAACTTAAGTCAATTGTAAAAAGATTGAGCTGTAGTATACATCCTGGTATAAGATTAATCAAATAGAACTGTATCCAGCACTGTCTAGAAACAATATTCACAATTAATAAAACCTGTAAGAAAGTATCAATAAGCAATCATACGATCATCACTAGAGTGTGGATCTATACACATGTTTCTGGTAGCAGCAAACAGGACCTATAACTTTTCAGCAATTACCTCAACTTTTACAATGGGTTCAATTTTACTTTCAATTTAGTCAATCATTTGTTTGCTTATCATTTGCTAATCACAATCAATAGATTCAATACATAATGTTTGTATAATTAATCTAACATGATGAAAACTCATACACGAAGGATCTTACACAAGTTATCAATCCTCATGAAAATTCATAAAACAAGTCACATAAGGCAAACATAACTTTGCAAATATTTGAAAAATTAAGGGTTAAACTTTTGTTTTATTTATGATATCATAAATCCAATGGAGCATAGTTAAAAGATAAATGGCATCAATGAAAGTGTTCACGAGTTCACATTTAAGAACAATTCACTGCCTGCATGTCATCACACAAATAAAAAATCTAAAGTGGTGATATTCTCATTCTGCAATGGGGGGTGGAGGTGGGGGTGGGGGTGAGGGTTGGGGTAGAGGTGGGGTCAAAAACTTAAAAAAAAGGAGGAAGGAATGTAGCAGAACTGGACTGGGATGATCATGGACAATCATAGCATATTTGGTAAAGTTGTCTTTTAGAGTTCAGAAGGTTCCCGATCTGAACGCTGGTGTACCTGTGTATTGTTCTACTCCTGTTACTTATGTGTCATAAGGAAAAATATTGTCAGGAGTGTTTACAGTGATAACAAGGAAGTTAATGTCATCAAAATTCATTTAATATATGGACAATAACATCCATATGGCAAGTCAAGCACATAAACAAATGTAGTATATCTAGGAGATAATAAAAGCCTTTAGATACAGGTAATTAATCACTGATTACTACTTGTAATTCACTTAATTACGATTTGTACACATACTTACCTTGAGAATGGTGGGCCTGTTACATACATGACATTATTTGTCATCCTCACTGAGTTACCACTAGCTCTTACAGAGCTTAAGCTCCTTAATAGTATTGGTATACAGTATAAGCAGTGATTAGTTCCAACAGATTTCTTGTGAATATTAAATCAAAATAAGCTAAGTAAAGCCTTTCAGTGGATCTGGAGAAATTTCCAGCTATAAAACAGCCAATAAGGGCAATTCTAAGCCAGTAGATAAATTTTTCAACAGCTTAAGGCATCTAACACACTGTCTAAACCGTTTTACCTCTGCAACAGGAAAAAAAAATAAAATGGCAATTCCAATCAACTTTTAATCAATAACTTTCTCTCTATTTCAACAAGAAACCTTATCCAAAACCTAATATTAACATGACACAACTGAACAGGTAAGGTAGCGTACCTGTGGTTGTGTATATCAGGTAAGATGTCCTGTGGGACTATGGTTTATTTTGATACATTTATTTGATGGGTCTTGTATTGGTTTGATCACCTTGAAGCAACACATAATTTTATACAATGTAATCAGAAAAGCACCAGGAAGTCTCAAAATATCAGACCTACTTTTTCACAGAAATTTTTTTAAAAATAAAAAATTAATATTCTG